GGTCTCTTATGATTAGGGGTGCTCCGATTGATCGGCTACCGATCACTATCGGCCGATAATCGCTTTGGGATGATTGATCGGCGGTCTCTAAAAAGGCCGATCTCAAAAAATCGATCTCAAGCTGATGACACGCCTGCCGTGAGAGTTTTGGCACGACATGCAGCTGCACGTCTCAGTCTCTTTCCAGCGCGGGTGAGGTACTCACCTTCATATTTCTTAATTAAATAACTTATAAAGTAATTTGAAAACCTTGTGTGAGACGTAATTTCACAAACAGTGAATCACCGCGCGCGCTCTCTCTCTCTCAATATACACAAATGTCTTCAAATCACCACATCGCGTCTGTCTATAAGCGAGCTGCACAGTTGACACAGGAATTGTCACTTGCACAATCGAAGCAGTGTCACATCGTCACGAAATCGTCATCGTAAAGTTTATAAATTGCATTACTTTTTAATTCTTGCCAGTGTTTAACCATTCAGTGCTCGCATGCTCTCCTGAAGACTGCGCTCGTGCACACTCGCAGCACACACACATAACGCCAGGTTCTCATGGATTGACACGAAAATGTAGTAATTACACCATAAATGCATATTATTAAAGTCTACTGTGTTTCACAATCAACACATATGGCTTGTTGGCTTGGTTTAAAGGGAAAGAGCACTTTTAGATTAAACAAGGCAATAATAGATGCACTCGTGGAGGAAGGAAAACAAACTTCTCTATGAACCGCAGGATTGCTTGTAATAAAGATTTCAATGCAAAAGGAAAGGCAGTAGAGCTGACTATTTCTGTCAATGGTAAGTTTGTGATAAAGTAAGAAAAGTAGTTTAAATGTTTTGCCACTTGCTTGAGCAACTTAATATATAAATCTAGAAGTAAATGCAAAAGTAAAAAGCATTGAATAATGTGTTGCTTATATTTATTGTTTAAACATGTCTGTTAAAGATTGTATTACTGTACTGTGTAAAAAAAGAATTGCAATGCTGAAAAAGCATTTTCAGTGACAATGTTTGGATTTGAAATCAAAATAATGGATAAATGTTGTGTTTGTGGTAAACACGGATCAGAAGCGGACTCCTGTGTGAAAGCTGCTTCACAAGAGACACCTAAAGAGGAGAATTACCCACATTTTCAAAAATGAAATTCAGGCCCTGAATAAATGTCTAAAAATCCTGATTGGAGTATCACTATATATAGTTATAAATGATAAAAAGAAGGCTTTAAAAAGATCTGTATCGGCAGATACTGCTTTCTGTGATCATGCATCTCATGACTGAGGCCGATGCGATACGCATCTCGATGCATAGCCAACGATACGATACATTACAGATACATATGAAGCAGCTACCGATGCGATGCGATATGATTCACCTCTGTTACGATGCAGTGCTATCTGATTCCAATTCGTTTCAACACAATGCGATTCCATGCAATACGATGCAATGGAGATATGATCACTTTTAATGCCTCGAGGCCTGTTTCATAAAACAAGTTTACCCAATAAACCAGGCTTATTTCAGTTAGTCTGACTCACTGTGGCAACTTATGCAGGGAAACTAACCTGGTCTAAAGCAGGTTAACTGTCAGGCTAAGCTGAGTTCCTCTAACACTGACCAATAGGAACCCAATGATATTACTACTCTCTCACACACTATTATTTGTAGGGCTGGGTATCGATTCAGATGTTTCGATTCTACAAGACTGATGATAAGATTCACGTTAATCAGATCTTGTTTTAAATGTGTGCTGAAATAAATCCCGGAAAAGATCGATTCGTGGCTTTTGAGAATCGATATCGAATCGACGTCATTTTAAAAAACGATTAATCAAAAAAACGATTTTTTTTGCCCAGCCCTAATTATTTGACTTGTTTTTTACAGTTTCTAGCCATGCAGCCTTTCTCTCTGCTTTTATTACAGATGTACCTTTTATAGTTAGCAAAACATTAGAACATTACAATCTAAAATTGCTCTTTGAAGGAACACTCCACTATTTTTGAAAATAGGCTCATTTTCCAACTCCCCGAGAGTTAAACAGCTGAGTTTTACCGTTTTCGAATCCATTCAGCCTATCTCCGGGTCTGGCGACAACACTTTTAGCTGTAGCTTAGCATAGATCATTGAATCTGATTAGACCGTTAGCATCTCGCTCAAAAATGACCAAAGAGTTTCTATATTTTTCCTATTTAAAACTTGACTCTTCTGTAGTTACATCGTGTACTAAGACCGACGGAAAATGAAGAGTTGTGATTGTGATATGGCTAGGAACTATACTCTCATTCCGGCGTAATAATCAAGGAACTTTGCTGCTGTATCATGGGTGCAGCAATGATATTACACAGCGCCTGAAAATAGTCCCAGCTAGGTAACTTCCAATAAGCCTATTTTCAGGCGCTGCGTAATATCATTGATATTAATAATAATGATGAAATTATATTAATAATGAGAAATTGTACACTTTGTGTGCAATTTTATGATGTGCACAAGTGACTAGATGATGTGGAGGTTGAACAAGTAGTTGAGAATTTCAATTCTGCTCTGAAAAATGTACCAAAGCGGCCGAGAAAAACTAATGGATCTATGTATCATCTGATAAACATTTTTACATTTGAAATTTTTGTTGTTGTTTCTTAAGCACTTCGCACATTATTCATGTTGACATATGATTTATTACCTCATAACCACAGTCTGTAAAGGACACGTCTGCATTTTGGTGCTGTGAATGCATACTTCTACTGCAAATAATGTATTATGTTTTTGCAGTACCAAATCTAAAGTTGAAACTATTTATAATTATTAAATGTTTTATTTTTGTTTTGTTTTTTTCATGCAAACTGTCATACAATGCTAAATCATAAGTTGCACATATTTTTCGGTAAGGCATATATCATAGTGCTGTTTCTTTGCAGGCTGTCCGGCTTGTGGCAGAGCTCTGTCTGGAGTATGAGGTTTATGACTTGCAGCTGTGGAACAGTGTCTTGCAAAAGCTTATGTCGTTTAATATGGTGAGTCACGTCTGTTACTGTCCATATAAAGCTGGTGTAGTCATTAGTTTGAGGCTTTTAGTGTACTTCTGCGCAAACACTGCATAGTGAAACGTGAATAATGGAAAACTATAACTTTTAGATGCTGAGAAAATCTGGAAACATGATCTATGAGTTCTGTATTTATATAGATTACTAGTCATGCTTTGTATTGCATTTGAACAAGTATACTTGAAGCTGTCATGTTTGTTAGCCTTGTGTTCATTGCTGTTTTATGTCATCAAATCTTTCTGCTTTTTCTTCTGTAGACAAGCTACTTGCAGAAGGTTCTTGAAGCCCTCATAGCAGTGCCCAGTCTTTTAGAGGTGATCATTTTTCATGTTTTTATTTAGATCGGGTGTCAGACTCATTTTGGGGAAAAACCGAACTAAAATATTCCTGCATGTGGGCCACATCGTGCTTAGCACAATGACAATATAGAAGTTTAAATACAGAGCAGGGCTGTAGGTTTTGCAGCACAGATCACACAAATGTAGCACAAGTATGAAGCATATGTAGCATCTCTGAAAACAACCACAAGTAGTGCAGTTCATCACTTAAACAGGCATCAGACAAACATTTTCTTGATTTGACCAACATGGCACATTGCAGGAACGTAACATTTACTGCGTAACATTGCTGCGTCAATTTTGTTTATATAGCTCATTATCACTAATCAGAGCTAGGCTAATATAGTCTACTAGTGTATGTATATAAATATATATATATATATATAATGAATCACTGCCCGAATGTTGACGTTCTTAAAAAGCTCTCACAGCCATCGAGATTGTAATGAATGAATACCAGGAGTATCAGAAGCTGCACTGAGATCTAATAATAATCAAAGCAACACAATTTCCAAAATCAGCCCCAAGAGATCATTTGCAACCTTAAGAACTGTCTCCGTATAAGTGTACAGTACAGCTCTCAAACCCGATTGAAAACCGTCAAAGATGGGCTGAAAATTGATCAGGTCCAGAGGGTTTAAGTGTTTTTTTATAAGGGGCTGGACAACTGCATGCTTAAAACTAGTCAGACTTGACACGGTGACACGAACCCCATACAATGAATGTTGATTGTCTTTAGCATATTTTTAGCGTGTAAGGATTTATGAACTTTTCCACATCTTTTGACATATACACTGGTCAGCCACAACATTAAAACCACCTGACTAATATCATGTTCCCTTGTGCTGCTAAAACAGCTCTGATGCGTCAGACCTCTGAACGTGTCCCGTGTGTCTGACACAGACATTAGCTGCTATGCTGCTATCTCTTCCCCAGGTAAACAACACGCATACGTCTGGCCATCCACCTGATCTGAAAGAAACTGATCAGAGCAGGCAGCCTGGTCATCATGGGCTCTCTGACCGCTCTGCGACTGCAGCCCTATACTCAGCAAACTGTGAAGCACTGCATGTCTATCATGTTCAGCATTAGGTTTTTCAGATATGTGAGCTACAGTAGCTCATCTGTGTGTTTGGACCAGTCAGGCTAGCCTTCGCTCTTCCTCACAACACTTTTGGTCGGCACTAAGCGCTGCAGGCCGGGAACACCCCACATGCTCTGACCCAGTCGTCTAGCCTTCACTATTTGGTCCTTGTCAAGGTCACTCAGAGCTTTTCTCTTGCCCATGTTTCCTGCTTCCAACACAAGAAACTCAAACTCAAGACTGTTCACTTGCTCCAAATCTATCCCAGCCCTCAATCGATGTGATCTACTGGACCTGTCAGTGGTGTTCATGCCGTGGCTGATCAGTGTAAGAGGTCACTGTACTATAAAAACTTCACAGCTCAAAACTTCCTTGTTAGTCCGAAAACAGCTTTTATTGAAACCAAAGCTTCCAAAACAACTCGTTTTGTCTTTCCTGCTCTTTATTACTTAATGAAGATAAAAACATCAGCACAAGACTGACCGCGTAGAGACAGATCAACACCTGCTTCATCTTTGGCCCGTCCTCTGGTGCGTCTGATATGGACAGAAAAATTTTTTTACCTTCAAAAGGATTGTAATCTGTGATCAGTGATTTCAGCTTCAACTTCACATTGTTTCTCTTACTAGCATGGAAATAATATGTTATTTAAACTGTGATGATATAGAGAAAGCGAGCTCCTTTATAATCACTCCTTTATAATCACTGGAAAGCGAGCTCCTTTATAATCACTTTATAAAAACTTGATGTTTGCGTTGTGTTCGTTGTTGAAAGCATTTGTGGAAGCGCAGAAATCAAGATTAATACAATCGTGTGCTCAACAGGCAAGACTGATCGGCTGAATAAATGGGAATAAATATAATACTATAATCAGCACTTACTACGATCAGGTCATCTTGGCATCTGTAATAGCAAGAAAACAAAACATATTAAAAGTTTCAAAAGAGTTGTAGATGTAATATGCAAAGATGTTTGCAACACAGGGCACTTAGTGTTCCTGTGGCTCAGTGGTAGAGCATTGCGTTAGCGGCGCAAAAGGTCGTGGGTTCGATTCCCAGGGAACACACATGCTGGTAATGTATAGCCTGAATGCACTGTAAGTCGCTTTGGATAAAAGCGTCTGCTAAATGCATAAATTATTATTATTAATTATTATTATGTTTCCCAGTCATAGCAGTGGGCATTTGCATTGAAGTCCTTTTAAACAAAGTATTTAACTCAGAGGGCTAAAATTATGGTCAAAAATGGTCTTTTATTTCTAAATCTACTAACATTATAAGTGCACCTCAGGAAACATGCTGCTGATGGCCGGTACAGCATCACTGGATTGTGCTCCTCCACGTGTAGTGTGTGACACTTAGATCAATTTAACACATCTGACAAGATTGTTATTTTATTTAATATGTATTTATTTATCCCTCCCTGCAGGGGCAAAGTCTTTCCCGGATATGGCGGAGTGTGATTCAAGCCCCTTTCTTGACAGGTAAAAAGAAACATACTTAGACATGTTTTTCTGTGAAGTTGCATATAAATTTGTATTAAATGCTTCTAACTGTTAGTCTGTTTGATCATTTCACAGCCTCTCTTCCTCTCAGCCCTCGACAGCATGATGTAATGTACAACACATTTGTCCTGCTTCTAAAGTAAGTCTCCAATCCAAGGGAAAGCATGGGAAGAGGGCGGGGCTCTTGTTTTACAATTAATATTTATCATCTATACAATACCAAGCAAAATATTTATTAATTATGATTTGTATGTAATTGTGAAGTCCTAATAATACTACATATTTTAATGCTACACCACTGTTCTCTCCCATAATACACAATTCAAATCACTGTCATCACCTCTTTAGCAAAGAGCTCCATGAAACCATGAAAACTTGGAAAAAAATGCCAGTTATTTAATTTGTGTAATTCGTGTTGATGTGATGAGTTTTTGAAATTGAGGGAGTGCCATGCATGTCTGTAATGAGAATCATTTAATCATAAACTCTCTGTAAACTCCTTCAGCTTATGGCACACCTGAGCGTTTAGAGGAATTACGTTCAAAACTGGGATAAATAACTAACAATGTAGACTTGTGTCAGCACAATAATTAAGCAAAAAATTATAGTTTTATGTTTCTACTATTTTAGTTTGAATGCAACAGTAGGGAACACCCATGTTAATTCTGGGTCTTATGTTAATGTAAAGTTTGTAAAATGTTATATTTATAAGGTTTGAATGTGCTTGAATTTTGAATATGTACTCAGAGATGTCCATGTCTGTTTACTATATATATATACAGTATATATATAATTTATTTTTGATTTATTTACTTATTGTAGATGTCCATTTGTATTGACGTTGGATCTGGTTGGCATCGCCAGGCGGTTTGCTCAGTTCAGCCTGCAGGCCTTCTCTCTGGGCACACTCTTGCTCATACCTTGTGCCAGAAAGAAGGACCCACAGATTCAAGTAGGTTCTCATTCACTGTAGACGGGGAAGATCTAAACACATTTATTCACTGCCTATGCTCTTAACATTTTAAAGATTAAATATAATCCAGTTATTAGTGTTTATTAATAGTGATTTGTGATTCTAATTTTGTACATTTCTGAAGTCAGTATTTATAACCTATGTAACCTACAAGCTAACTGAGTGATATCATTCAATTCTATTATTGCTATTTTGACAATTCCCCAAATACGTATTTCACTGAATTATTTTAGTGTAGTGATGAATCTCTTTGGGATTTGATTTGTCTGTCATTATTGAGTTATTAGTGGTTTATCTTGAATGTATGCAGGTTCTCCTATTTACTGATTTGTGATCTGCATATTTTGAGTTTGATTTTCAGTTTGTACATAAACAAGACTTTGTGTGTCTTCTACATTAGAGCTTCCTGTTATCCTGCAAGCCTACCCTCATTCTGGATCAGGTGGAGGAAAGCATGAGCACCGGAGAGTTAGCCGGCATTCCTTCACAGGTCTTGCTTTGTGCAAACAAATCTGTTCTCAGTGCTTGTTTACCTTTGATTCATTTAAAATGCCTTACCTTGTTATTTACTGTAGATTAGAGACACTGTGTTCACCTTCCTTTGTGGAAATGGCAAGTCGCAGATGTTGATGAAGACCAAACACTTCACTTATCTGAAGAAGCACTTGATCTCAAAGGCTCATTCTGAAATAGTGCAGGAGCTGCTGAACTGCCTTGTGGAGCAAAATGGGTTCGTTGATCCTTGATGAAATTTCATAAATTATTATTATTTATAAGATGTGAAGGAAATTCAAAGTTCATCATTTTATGTTATTTTATTTATTTATTTAGAAATAACAGTTGTGTAAGGGATCATGTACAGTAGGAATATAATAAACCTCGAAAGAGAGATTGGGAAGTATCACGATGAACACTGCAATGTTACAGTAATATTAAAATGCCCCTATTATGCTATTTTAAAGGTTCCTAATTTTGTTTTGGAGGTCTCCTACAATGTTTACATGCGTCCAACTAAAAAAAAAACATAATATACATTGCAGCATCACCTCTTTTCTCATAGTGTTTGAAAGGTCTGTTCAAGGACTCGTTCTCTATATTACGGATGGGAAGATTCGCTCGGTGCATCGGCATTAAAAAGTAACGATGCGATGCATTGGTTTAAAAAGTGTGCATCGGCTAGAAGTTGGCATTTGTATCGCAATGCATCGCTTCTAACATATTTGCATCGGTAAAAACCGATTAATTTATATATAATTACTAGTAGATGCGCTATACTTTTATTGTTTAGAAAGTGACCAATAATCTGTGACCAATATTTAATATGTAGATTGACTTCTCCTCTCTAAACTGTTTCTCAAGCGCTCTCATCACCGCTGCTGCTGCGTGAATATGACGTCACTAATCCCCGCTTTTCCTCGGGTCTCCGAAGTGTTGTGATAAAGTCCAAAACCTGACCTGAAGTAACCTAACAAATCAATCGGGGCTAAAGCGGTTCCATAAACAACTAATTAAGTTCACACAATCTCACTAAGGTCTGCTTAAGAATAAGCGTGCACAAATTAATGTCGATCATGGATCATCGCAAACAGCGACTATATCTGTGCTGTTTAATGCATTTGAGACGTTGTGTTTTCCTCAGTGCATAACTGACATGTCACGGTTATATTCTTCATCTGTAAATGTCAGAAAGTCATGTAAACATATTAATTATGCTGTCAGGAGTGAACGAGCGCTGCTGCACGCTAAACAGACGGAGCACAATAGAATAGAAGCGCAATAATTCTGAGTAAAATATACATTTTGCTAAAATATTTGTTGTTGGACATTAATGCGTCTTTTGTAGAATTTTAACCTACATATACAGTAAGTGTATTTTTATGATAGCAGTAACTGTAAAGGGGCTATTGTAATGGGTAAATCAAATATAAGATACTAATTGCTAAGCTCAAATGAGTTAATGTGTGATTCTCATACCAATTAAAATATAGTCTTTATTATTTTTCATTTTTAATTCAGTGATTTCAACTTTTAATTTAGTTATTTTAATGCTTTAAAAAGGCGAATTTAGATTGTAATGTTCTGCTAACTATAAAAGGTACAGCTGTAATAAAACCAGAGAGTAAGGCTCATGGCTAGAAACTAAAATAAATAAATAAAATAAGTCAAATAATAGTATGTGAGAGAGTCAGAGCCTGATCTAGGCCTGTGTTAAATTTGCTTTATGGAACCAAATCATTTGACAATGAGTCAGACTAACTGAAATAAGGTTTATTGGGTAAACTTGTTTTATGAAACAGGCCTCGAGGCATTAAAAGTGATCATATTTTCTCCATTGCATCGTTGAATCAAATCGAATTGAAATCAGATTGCTCTGCATCGTAACAGGTATGAACCGTATCGCATCGCATCGCTGCTTCATATGTATCTGTAATGTATCGGCCTCATTATAGAGATGCACATCCCGACTCTAAATCCCTCATTTTTGCACCTACTCTGCTCTGATTGGTCAGATGGCCCAGTATGTTGTGATTGGTCCACCACTTACAGCGTGTGTCAGAAATGAATCGCCCAAGACCATACATGAGTTTAAGCTCCGGAGACTTCCTCAGCACAGTATGCACAAAATCCTGCTCCACGCTCGTAATGAGAATGACAGAATCTGATTCAGACCGCAGACAATCAGTCACACTGCTGATTTCAAGACAATAGCATGAGTTAACCGGTTAGCAGTGGGCTATAGCTTTGCTACCACGCATTTTAAACACTCAGGTGTATATATATATATATATATATATTCATACATACAAGATTTTAGAGGCAGTCGTCAGTACAATGATGGGAACACAATGAAAGGCTGGCATTATACTGCTGTGTCACAGTAAAAGTGAATTTTAACCACTGACTCTTCACATCTTCAACCTTTGGGAACTCATGTAAACTAGTTTAGCTTTTCTAGACATCACAACTACACGGACCAAAACTCTGCAGCCCGTTCAGATTCAGTTCTTTCTTTTTGGAGATTATAACCCCTTTTTGTCATGCACTTTGATCTTTAAAACTCTGCTCCTTCAGAAACAGCCATATTACACACTACATGAAAAGTAATATTCAAAGCATAATAGGGGTACTTTAAGTTCTCTTAAGGTCAGTTGTTTCAACAGAGAATTTTAATTCAGTATCGTGTGATATTGTTTAACTATATAATATAATACAAATAAAGACAAAATCAGGTGCATTTTCTGCCCCATATGTGAGTGTCAGAGGTGTAGCATCACGAGTGAAACCCTGCGCTCTGAAGAGGTTTGATTGGTTTGTGACACTGAAGGTCTGCTCACACGCTGTTAAAACAGTTAGGATACCGTGATAGATAATACATATCGCACCTGTAGTTTCATCTGAATGTTTTCAATTACAATTTTCTCTTTCGAGTGCTAAGTAAATTTGTATTTCTAGCAAAAAGTGTCTTTCAATGTGCTTTTTTTCTCTGAATAGTGAAGAGGAGGCCATTTCTTTTGCCCATGAATATCTGAAATACCGAGAGCTGAAAGGAGGGCAAACGGCTCCGCTGAGCAACTCTTTCTCTGATCCTGTCAGGGTAATCCATCTTAAATATTAAAATCACTTTCATTTTTAGGGATGCACCAATAGCAGATTTCTCTGCCGATTACTCCGAATGAAATCTCCCGATCGGAGTTTAGGAACACAATCTCTCCCAGCTAATGCTGTAAACTATACAAGAAACTCTGGTTTTTTCAGATGTATTTCCAAGAAAAAAAACATCGTCTTATATTCGGAACAATACGGTATATATATATATATATCTCATTGGGTACATTACTGGAATATCAGAGGTTAAAATTATCAACAAAGGCCAAAATATATTCAACTGCTGTTTATTTTCCAATATAATAATCAAACCCGAAAATAAAAACTGAAATGTTTGTATGTAACTCAATAGTTTTCATAACTTTACCCAGACAATTAATTTTTCACCACAAGACTAGCAGTGTGCGCTAACACAGTAAATAGTTAAACAGAACCTGTGGACAGCTATATTTTTAAGTCAGATTATATTAATGCTTTATTATAGCGATAATTGGACAGCCCTAAACCCTACAGAAAACATTTCTTCACACACGAGTTGCAGTCTGACATTTTTCTGGCCTTTTTGATGACTGGATATAATCGGCCCCGATCATCAGGTTTTAAACAGTCGGCCGATAGTGCAGATAATTGGTGCATCCCTTTTTTTTTGCTTTAATTAATGTTTATTGTGGTTGTAGATAATACTTAAGACTTGTAGATATACTTTAAGTTCTCTCTCTCTTTTTGTCCTTCAGGAATTTTTGGAAAAGGCCCTGGAACCCAGAGTTACACAAACATCAGCATAAATATTTGTTGTCTGTGGGTAATATTATAGTATTTTCACTCAGTACAGGATTGCACTAGTAAAATATTATCTGCTTGCACATTTTACATTGAATATTATTACAGTATTTCAGTACTGATGTTTTGTGATTATAAACAAGTGGATGTAGATGCATACCTGCTTTACAAATAAAAACTATTACTTTTTTTTCCAGTAATGTGGAAATGTTTATGTAGCTTGAAAGTTTCCTTTAGACATGTTATACAAAAAGACTGGTCATTATTTTAGATCCTGTTCCAGTAATATAAGAAAATAGAAATATACAAATACTTGAAGTGTTTTCTAGTTTATACTAATATGAAAGCATTTCAGTGTCAAACATGCTTTTACACATTAAAAAAAAAGTAATTTATTTGTTTCCAAAGCAGATGATGACATATGACAAAACTAAATTATCCAAAAAGTACACAGGTAAAGAAAATGTAATACTCTAGTAATTGACATTTCACTGCTTAATGCATTGGCTAGGTTTTAGAAATCTTTTATCAATATCAGTAATGAATTACTGCGTGCCTGTCACATTGACAATAGTTTCTAGCTTCAGTGAATCCCTGTTCCTCCATGTAAAAAAAAAGCACAATGTGTTTAGTCTGATCTCATTCGAGTTAATATGAATCAAGCTGTATCAAAGGAAGCAGAGATTCCTGGAGACACGCTGCTTCCTCCATTACCAACCATTTACTCCTCTAGTGATGTTAGACAGGGCAATTAAAGGGATCTTCACCCAGAAATCTACATTTGCTGTTAACATGAACATCTGCTCTTTACTTCTCTCAATCTGCACACTTTTATAGCATTAAAATGTGTATTGTTTCATTTGGTTAACTAAATGTGTATTAACAGTGTTTGTTTAAAATCTCTTAACCTGTGGGAGGACGCCAGCGCACAGAAGCGTTCTTTGTTTACATGAGTTCAGAGTTACTGCTAGTTTTAATGTTAAAGAATGCAATTAACTTCATAAACTAACTTAAATCATTAAAAAGGTCTACGACTCAAGCTTCATATCGATCTCGACTTCGTTTTTCATTTACATAACTCCTGGCATAAATTAAGAAATGACTGTAACTGTTAAGTTTTTAAAAAAATGAAGCTTGAGTCTTTTTGGTTTAGTTTTGTCGTGGCCACGAGATATTAATTCGTGGGAACGTGATAATATGTCGTGGCCATGAGATCCTATTGAGGGAACAACTTCTAGTTGATAGTATATGCTACCATATATTTTGCAAATACTGTAAACGCCTGACAATTATGCCAATAAAGTTTTGACTTTATGATTGCATTTACACCTGTATGTGACGATAAATGAGTGGTGTTTTCATTTACAAATGAAACTACGCAAATTATTCATTTATAATTCTAGTATTCATAATTATAGGGTTAGGGTATTTATAGGGTTATTGTTAAATTCATCCTCTAAACTGCACTTCCAGTAAAAATTCCTGTCATATAGCATAATCAAAGCTTTATTGGCATGTCGGGCATTTACAGTATAGGCTATTATTTACAAAACTCTTCAAGGCTGCGTTTCCCAAAAGCATCATAAGCCAAATGATGACAATGGTTCTTCAATCGATTTAGGCTTAAGATGCTTTTGGGAAACGCAGCCCTGAACGTTAAGTAAAGAGATCGAAATGAAGGTAAAAAAAAAATCAAATACATAACAACGAATATAAAAATATTACCAATAATAATAATAATAACAATAAAATACATGGACTTACAAGACTTGTGGGATGGATAAAAAAAAATTATTGTAGGCCTATTTTATTTTATGTACTTTATTTAACATTTATTCATAATAAACTTTATTCGAATGTTGTCTACATCGCGTGCAACACAGTCCCGTAGCCTAGGACTATGGTTAACACTTAAACCACCAGAGGTCGCTGTATACCTAAAAGCGCCAGCGGGTAAAATGTACCCATGCACAGGACTACTGTTTTTATATGGCTAAAAAAACCTATGTCACTGTATTATGCCACTGTCTTCACAATGTCTAGAGTCATAAAATTGTTATTTTTTAGTCATCAACTATGTTTTTGTCCTGTTGTTTTAAGTTCACGGCTATTTTTAAGAAGGTTACACTAATCACTTTTCTTAATGGTGAATATAAACCAGCCTGCAATGACAACGAGAATTACAAGGAAATAAATACATATTTGGGTGGTGTAATATTATAATAAAATGTTTTAAGATAACCCATGTTTTTTAAATGACTAAAATACCCTAAATAGACTATAATAAGCCATAATAATTCACCACACTGCATGTATGCACTAGGATGTATGATACAACGACAAATTCAATCGCACAGTTTCACCTAATCAATTATCTATTTGTTTAGTTATATAATTTATAATTTGAATAAGAGAACAACACTTGGGGTAATCATAAAAATTGTTTTATACATTACATCATAATTCTGATTTTTTTTTTCAGGAATAAATAGCTAAGCAACACAGTAGAGAACAATAAACGACAAAAAAATTTGCAAAACAAAAATGAATAATTAATCCAAAGTCTGAACATTTATGAGTTGGCTAAAACATCTTAATTTGAACGTGCGTTGTGTGACTGTTTGCAGTAAGCTAACACGTTGCTCAATGACAGCGCGACAATAAAGGAATTATAATATATATACACACACACACACACATTTTGCCAAAGGAAATAACAGGTGCATGGGGATATAGGTAAAATATATTGTGAAAAAATGCATATTAAGTTATTTCATGAGCTTCTTCAGTTCACCTGTATTTTCTACTTCTCCATCAGCAGCTCCTTCAGAAATGTTGAAATCTTGGAGCTTCCCATCTGTTCTGTAGAGTTTCTTTCTGTCCTCCTGAAATCACAGAACAATTTATCAATATTTGTTTACTATGAAAGATCTAACCCCGTTTGAACTTGTTTTCAGCCGATTACACTCTCCGTGTAAGTGGCGTCATCGGTTCACAGTGCAGTGTATATGTTTAGGTTAAGTACATTATCCTATTTGTGTAACCCATTGACAAATCGCCAGCAAAACCTTTACAGATCTATCAAAACATCTCATATACACATGAAGATTTGATTAAAAGCCCAAAGTTTCATAAACAAGAGCTCAATCTACAGAGTTAGCCTAACGTTACCTCCTCTGAAAACGGTGGACTTGATGCTAATGGACTTTTTCGAAGAGGCTAAACCATTTCTAATTCTATCAAATAAATAGTCAATAGAAAGATGTCAATTACATGTAAGAAACGTGTCAGGAACGTTTGTATGTAATATTTGTGTGATTTTAGGGACTAAACTTACCTGAAAGCAGTGAAAACAGCAGCGAGAGACGTTTCCATGGCAACTCTGCTCCCAGCTCGCGCAGAGCTCAACGCACTCACAGCATTTACACAAATAAACATCTAGAATTAAAACATTACATTAATAATTTACAGTCTCAAACAATTATTATTCAATAATGAATTTAAACTCAGTTTTGTAGTTGAAAAGCAACAGAAACAATAGCTCACCGTAGAAACGGATTCTTTCTGGTAACGTTAGCCTACAACAGTGAAAAACACGGCGGAAAAGCAGTTAGGACTTCACTTTAATAAAATTTCCCCTCCGAGAAATTGCTGGAAATACATTAAGGCGCTAACAATAATATTAAAAATCGCTAAGTTATCGTGACCGTTAGCTAAACAAGTTACCGTTAGTTGGAAATGAGCCCCAGTCTCTTCAC